CTGTGCCTCAGTTTCCCCATGGAAGTGGAGTGTTGCTCCATTTTCCCAGCCGATCAGAGCACGACCAGCTGTCAGCGCCCACATAAAGCCCCCCCACCCCTTCTGCCCCCCCCCCCCATCCCTCCCCCATCCCTCCCCCCTTTCCTTTACCCCCTTCCTGTCCTCCCCAGGTCGCTTCCAGCAGGTCCAGGCTCTGGCTGCCACAGCAGACGCCTTCTTCTGCCTCTATTCCTACGTCTCCAAGACCCCCCTGCAGCGCATCTCCCCTTCTCACCTCACCTGGACCGACCCCGGCACCCCCGAAATCCGCATCCCCCCCTCCCAGCCCCCCACCCTCTCACCCGCAGAGCGTCTGAGGGCGGCCGTGTCCAAGATGTGTCTGTATGCCCCCCCCCGGGCCGGGGGTTCCCTTGGCAGGGTGGTGCGGGAGGTGCTGGAGCGCAGCCGGGAGGAGAGGTTTTGCTTTGACCCCGATGATGTGGAAAGGTTGAGGGGGGTTGCTGGTTGCGGGGCGGCTGTTGGGACGTCGCCACGTGGAGGTGGGGGGTCCTCGTGGCTCCATCAGGGGGTCCCCATGTGTCGCCATCAGCGAGGGATGGAGATGGCTGTGAGATGTGGCCAAAACTCCACGGCGGGGGCTCTGCTGTGGGCAAGGGGTGCCCCGTGCCCCCCAGGAACAGAGGATGGACAACCACGGGTGAATGTCACCTCATCCCCAGCGCCGGGTGCAGTGACCACAAATGACAGCTGGCTGCGTGCCCCCCACGCACAGCCGGGACACAACGGGGACTCAGAGACCTCCCCCAGGGGGGCAAAAGGGGGGCAGCACCCAGGAGAGCCCCCACACCTCTATGGGGCGCCGCCCCCTCCGTCCCACCGCGCAGCGGGTGGAGACCAGTGGGGTCAGCAGAGCAGAGGACGGAGCGGAGGATGGCGCTGGGTGGGTGATGCTGACCGGCAGCAGAGCGACGCAGCGGGGCTGCAGCCCCCCAGGAAAGGTCCCACCGCAGGGAGCTTCGCCTCCCACCACCCCAACCGGGCCGAGACCAACGAAGCCGCGGACTCCTTCGAGATGGAAGAGGTGAGGGGGGCAGCGCTGCTGCTGGGGAGGGGGCTGCAGGTGGGCAGCGGGGCGGGCAGGAGGATACGGAGCAGCGAGCGGCCCTGGTGGGTCAGCAAGGAGGAAGGCGGCAGGGTCTGAACGATTGAGAGCTTCACATCTTCCAGGGGGGAGCTGTGGGGAGAGCCGTCCTGCTGCGTACACGCCTGCGTGCACGCGTTGAAATGCTTGCACACCAAACATGCTTGCACGCATGCACCTCTGCACCCACATGTAGTGCAACCCTGCTGCACACAAACGTGTGCACATGTGTTCCATGCACACATGTTCCATGCACACGTGCTCCATGCACACATGTTCCATGCACACATGCTCCATGCACACGTGTTCCATGCACACGTGTTCCATGCACACATGTTCCATGCACACATGCTCCATGCACACATGCTCCATGCACACATGTTCCATGCACACGTTCCATGCACACATGTTCCATGCACACATGTTCCATACACACATGCTCCATACACACATGCTCCATGCACACATGCTCCATGCACACATGTTCCATGCACACATGTTCCATACACACATGTTCCATACACACATGTTCCATGCACACACGTTCCATGCACACACGTTCCATACACACATGTTCCATACACACGTGTTCCATGCACACATGTCCCATACACACGTGTTCCATACACACATGTTCCATACACACATGTTCCATACACACATGTTCCATGCACACACGTTCCATGCACACATGTTCCATGCACACACATTCCATGCACACATTCCATGCACACCTGTTCCATGCACACATGCTCCATGCACACATGTTCCATGCACACATGTTCCATACACACATGCTCCATACACACATGCTCCATGCACACATGCTCCATGCACACATGTTCCATACACACATGTTCCATGCACACATGTTCCATACACACATGTTCCATGCACACACGTTCCATGCACACACGTTCCATGCACACACGTTCCATACACACATGTTCCATGCACACATGTTCCATGCACACATGTTCCATGCACACATTCCATGCACACGTGTTCCATACACACATGTTCCATACACAGGTGCTCCAGCCCCTCTTTGGCACAACCTGCGCCCCGTTGTGTTCATGCAGGTGGTGAGCGACAGCGACGACGATGATGACGATGACGATGATGAAGATGATGACGATGACGATGACGACACCAGCTGCTCCGTGAGGTTCCGCAGAAGTAAGCCGTGCCTCTTTCCACCCGTGCGCACAGGTTGAGAGGGGTCTGTGGGGGGGGTGCAGAGGTGCAGCGCATCCCATCCCATCCCCACGCTCCAGGTTTGATGCTGTACGGAGTCGGTGGGCATTCGGACAGCAGCGGCTTCGTGGAGGAGCCCCTTCCTGAGCAGACAGACTGAGCCCACCGGGGGTCTCCTGCCTGCACCACCTCCCCCCCCCCTTCCCACCCAACTGCTGCTCCGGCACCGGAGTGCAACAACGAGTGCAGGAAAGTTTGCACCGCTGCGCTTCAGGCGATGGAACCCATCCTCAGCCCAGAGCTGAGCACCGTGTGGACACTTTGTGTGTGTGTGTGTGTGTGCAAATGCATGCACAATTATGTTGGATGCACCCAAAACTCAGGACTGGCACCTGCACCCCCCCCCCCTCCCCTCCTTCTCCCTCCTCTGCCCCTTTTCCTCGGGGCTTCACTTGCACTTTGGAGTTGGCTGCTCCCCCGGCGCTTGGAACACTAGGATGGGGGTTTTGCTGGGGAATAGCTGACAGCACACTGGAAATAAAGGTCCCAATGGGATCAGGCCGTGTCCCTGCACTGCTGGGGGGTCCCGAGGACGTGGGCGAGGGCTGCGTGTGGCTCTCAGGCTGTGCGAAGTCGGAGGAGGTGCTGCCTTTGGGCATGAGTCATGCAGCGCTCGCTGTTCAGGGTTTATTTTGCTCTCCATCTCTTCTCACCCCTCCGAAGCCTCTCTCTCCTGTTTCCTTATCTGGGTGCTTTATGGCTCCGGGCCTGTTCTTCATCTTCCTGCCACCTTATCTTTATGGCTCTGCTGTTCTTCCTCTCCTTGCAGCTCTGGCATCCGAACGAAACCGCTGTGATGCTCTGCAGGACCGCAGCCTTAACCCCTCCCGCTCTGCTCCCAACCGGGGCAACCAAACATTGGGGGCACAGTCCCCAATTGGGGGCAGGGTGACCTTGGCACTTCCCACCCCCCAATTCTTCCCATCCCCATCTCTTCCCATCCCCAAATTTTCCAGTGTTTTTATTCCCTGGGTTGATGGAAGCTGACCCCCCTTCTCTCTGCTCCATCCCACCCAGGGCCACCTCCCCATCCCCAGAGGGTCCCACCCGTTGTCCCCCCCCACTCCCCGTGGGCCACCAGCCCTGCTTACACCCCTTCAGCAGGAAGAGAAGTGGTGCCAATGGCCTTTGGATGGGAAGGAAGGCTCCAGCCCCCCAGGCATCAGCGCTGGAATTAATGGGGAGGGAAAGTCCTCACGGGTAAAAACAACCCAAGGACTTCCCAGTGGAGCACAGCCAAGGATGGGATTATCCTGGATTAACCACCAGCCCCTCCGGCACCGGGGTCTGGCTCTCACCGCAGCCTCACCCTGTGGGATCTGTATGGGATCTGTATGGGATCTGTATGGGAACCCCAACCTGGGGGGTGCACAGAGGGGTTGGGATCCCCCCCCCCCCCCCCCCCTTGGTCATCACCCCACTCCCCTCGCTCTGCCTGGTCCTGGGCTGAAGATGGGATTACATCTCCACCAGCCCCAGGATTTGTCCTGCATGGGGCTGTGCAAAGCCATGGGGTTGGGCTGCCCACCCGTGGGGACACACATGGGCACCTCGGCCCAACCAGTGGTCACAGGGGCCGTGCTGGAAAGCAGCACAAAGCACTGGGAGCCAGCGGCTGTTGCTGGGGACCAGCAGGGGACACACGGTGACACCTCCACGCTGCAGAGCCCAGGAGCTGCACATCATTACATTCCCTGCGTACGTCGCAGCCCTCCGTGCTGCCAGGACCCAAACTGGGGGTTCTGGAACCCAAATTGGGGGTTCTGGAACCGGTGCTGAATGAATTCAGAGGGATGGAGCATCCTGTAAAGAGGTGTCTTAAAATCAAGAAGCTCCCCTTGGAATGGAGGAACAACACTGAAGTGGTGGTGGTGGTGGTGGGGGGTCCTGGGGGTCTCTTATCCAAACCCTTCACTGAACTCCATTGCAAAGGGGCTGAGACATTTCAGAGACCCCCCCCAGAGCAGCACCAAAAGGGTTTTGCAGCACAGAGAAGAAGGGAAGCAGGACTGCACGGAGCAGAGGCGCAGCACGGGTGCGCATTTGGGAACACGCAGCCGTCACTCGGATCCTTTGCTCTCCACCCACCCTACAGCCCAGACATTTTCCCATCCCCTCCCCGCCCCCCAACTCCTCCAGAAGTCTCCCTGCTTTCTCCTGCAGTTTCAGCCTCGTTTTTCTCCAGTCCTGCTGGAGATCTGAGAGCACTCAGGTGGATCCTGACGGGCCACGCTCCGCTGCCTCCATCCCTGCACAACGTGAGGATGGAGCTGATCGCTGCGGGTGGGATGCTGCCCTGCAGCTGTCTGAAACACGAAGCAAATCCCTTCCTCCCCAGTGCACACTTCACTCCTGGACAGGGTTTGTAATGCCAAGCAGTGTGGGGAAATTATTCATCCACCTCCTCCCCCCTGCGCTCGTGCCCTTCCCTCGGTGCATCAGCGTTCCCCAGGCATTTTAATGGGGGAAGATGCTCCGAGCTCCATCCATATCCCCAAAATGGGACGGAGAGATGCTCTGCCCCATGGCAGGGGGCATCATGGGGGAGTATGGGGTGTACTGGGGGGGTGTATGGGGCAGGTAGCAGCCACCCGAATGTTTTGTGTCTTTGGCACACTGTGGAATTGCTCCCACACGTGCAGCCCTGGGGGACCGGGAGGTTTTGGGTCGGGTCCATCCGCTCCGTGCTCCCCCAGGAGCTGCAGGGCTGATCCCTGCTAATCCCACGTTGGCCCAGAGCCCGAGCTCAGCATCTTCCCACCACCCCAACCCCTCCGATTGGTGCCTTCATAAGGGGCAGAACGGAACCTGGGCTCATCCCGGGGCTGCGGTCGTCACCACCTGAGCACCGTGGGGACGATGAAGCTCTACGCAGTGCTGCTGCTGGCTGGGCTGGCCTGCTGCCTGGCTGCGGGCTGTGAGTAGGGCAGGACCCCAATGGGGCCGTATGTCCCTTAGGGGATGTCTGTCCCCCTGCCCAAACCCCCCGGCCTGGGGTTGGTCACGCTGTGTCTCTTCCATTCGCAGTGCCCGTCAATGAGACGCCGACCGTGGGGCAAGGTAAGTGGGGGTCCTGTGTGGGGATCAGTGGGGCGGGGGGGGCTGAGATTTCACTACGAACTCTCTGAGCATCCCAGTTGTACCAATAACACTTCTGGGGCTTCTCCTGTGCTCTGTAAGTGGGTGAGCGACGCTCCCTCAATCCCTCCCTGCCCTCCAAAGTGTGGGAGCTGAGCTCCCTGCAGCACGAAGCGGCTCTGGGGATGGGGCAGGGGGATCCGCGCAGGCACGGCTCATGGAGGGGGGCAGCTCCCAGACCCCCCCCCATTTCTCCCCACAGATGTGAAGGTGAACAGCAGAGCTGCCGAAGGAGCGCTGGTGGATTTGGCAGACGTGGTGGAAAGCCTCCTGCGCTCCCTGGGAGACACCTTGGCCGGGGCGGTCAGACTGCTGATAGGGGGAAAAGCGAGTGAGAGGGGATCAGGGTGGGAGGGTTTGGGGGCTGAGGTGCTGAGGGGCTCCCACAGCCTCCCCCCCTGTCTGGATTGGGGACATATCTCACCTCTCTGCTCCTCTCTCCTAACAGAATAGCGAGCGGCCAGCGTGGTGAGCGCTGCCCTCCCCTGCTGGGGACGTGGGGACGTGGGGACACGGTGCTCTGCCCATGGGCTCTGCTTCGTTCCGAGGTGCCACCAATGCCACCAGCTCACCCTGCAGCTCTTCCCGTGTGAACACAGCTCCAAACAAAGCTTCCAATAAAGCAAACTGCTAATTGCTGCCTGTCCCGTCCCTCCTGCTCCTTGCCCGCAGAGGCTGCGCTCTGACCCGGGCTGCTTTCCTGCTGCCATTTCCCTCAGATGAGTGGGGTCTTCCCAACCAAAGACTCAATTCCAGTGTTGGGTGGCTGAGTCCCATGGATTCCTTGTGCTTTTGTAGCAAACCCGCATCCCGGTGCTGTCACACAGAACCACAGAGCTGTAGGGGTTGGAAGGGACCTCTCAGGTACCGAGTCCAAACCCAGGTTCCCTACGTCAGGTCTCACAGGCGGGCATCCACGCAGGGCATCTCCAGAGGAGGAGAATCCACCACCTCTCTGGACAGCACTGTTCCAATGCTCCGTCACTCTGACAGCAAAGTTTTCCTTGTGTCAGAATGGAATTTCCTCTGCCCACTTTTCTGCCCCTTGTTGTACCGTTTGCTCAGCAGCAAAAAGCGCTCACACCCCCATGGACTCCTATGTGTGGTGTTCCTACGATGCCCACTGACCCCACTGCCAATGTCTGCAGTCTTTTCTCCACTTTGAAGACCACCCCACTGCTGCACCCCCCCAAAACCTGTCCTGCAGACAGACCCCAAACCCCCAACCAATCCCCCCCACTTTCCCATCTCCATTCCCATCTCCATTCCCATCTCCATTCCCATCTCCTGTCTCATGCGCTGGCTGCTCAGTCCATGACGTCCTCCATCCCCACGTCCCATCCCTTGGGTAACATTCTTGGGGATATCCAGAAGGCACCGCAGCTCATCTCCATCCTCTACTGGACTCTTCAGCCCCATGGCATGGCTGTGGGGTGACTCAGTGGGATCTGGGTGCTCAGAAGAAGTTTGGAACACATTGGAGAGCTTCACCCGTGCCCTGAGTTGTGGGGTCAGGCTGCTTTCTCACTGTGGGAAAAAGCATAGGGGACACTGGGCTGTGCTGGTGACAGAGAGCAGTCTCCAAGCACAACTTCTCCTTTGGGATCTCATGGGAGCATCCTATGGTCCCCAGGAGGGGACATGGGCCATGACCTCGTGCTCTTGGTCTTGTTACCTTCCAAGCAGTGCCTGCAGGTCCTGCACTCCTCGCTGCAAATCTCCACCTGGCTTTGGTGCAGCTCCTGGAGCGATATTTGCTCAGTGGGGTTCCTGACCCCCAACTGGATGAAGGGAACTGGGATGTTTAGTGGGGCGGGGACGGATCCAGCCCCAAGCTCAGATGCCTTTCAGAGCCAATTTGGCCGATCCGCCGTGGGCCAACCCTGTGCCAGGACCCCTCCCACCCGGATGCCTCCTGGGTTATTTCCCTTCCTGGAATTCCCCTCTCATTAGCAGGATTCGTTAACTCCAGAGGGCTTTTCTCAGCCCTCTGCAGTCTCAATCACCCACTCTGCTGGCAGGACGGCTCTGGGCTCTTCCAATGCACCCCAATTCAGGGGGATGTGGCACTCTGAGGTGCCCTGGATACCAGGAGGGCTGGTGGCCTTTGGGGACACAGAGCGTCACAGGATGGTGGTGCACAGGGTGGGACCTCCTCCTCCCTCCTCCTCGGTGCCACATCCCACACCTTCTGCCACCCCCTTAGGGGCTGACGGGGTTCCCCTTTCCCCCCGCTCAGCCCCCAGGGGTCGGACCGTTTCTCCCTCAACGCTGACCATCGATGTTCCCATCGCAGCACCCACCACCAACCCCATCCCCATCTCCTCCACTGCACCACCCACCCATACACAAGGGGGGGGGATGGGATGCGACAGAGATGACTTAAACGCTTCTGCTGTGCTGGAGAAATCCACGCTGGGCTCCCCTTCCCAGCATTGCCCATCACAGGAGAGTGGGCACCATCCCTGGGTGCTCTCCTGATTCATTTCCCATCTCTTTCCCTTCTGCTTGGGGAAGGAGCTCGGTCTTCAAGCTCGACAGCAGCTGGCGTCTCCCATCCCAAAATAAAGCCCCATCCATGAGCTCCTCCTCCTCTCTTTCTTCACAGCCCAACCTTGCGTGGGGGGCTCAGGGTGTCAAATGTGCAGCGTTGACACCCCGCTGTGCTGAAAACAGCCAGGGGGGGAGGGAGGGAAGGGTGGGATGCTGGGTTGCCATGGTGATGAGGATGATGCTGGCAGCGCCGTGGGAGGATGCTGATCTACCCGGGAGTGGGGGAGAAGATTCTTGTCCTTCTTCTTGGAGCCGTGGATCTGTCCCAGGGCACAGGGAAAGCGCAGAGTGGTGGTGAGGAGGGGGGTTGGTCCCGTGGGGATGCACCCCAAAAGCTGTGCGTGAGCAGGGAAAGCAAAGCGGAGCCTTCTGGTGTCCCTGACCCCAATGCTTCCAGGTGCACCAACAAACCAATGCTCCCTGGTGTCCCAAACCAAAACTCACCGCCTTCTGGTGTCCCTCCTGTGGATCCTACAGGAATCCTCATGGACTTGGTGAACTTTGCTTCAGCTTGGAGCACTGGGTTTAGGGATAGGAGGATGGACAAAAGTTGTCCACCACCAGTGCGTTTCAAAGCCTTTTCTCCAGTGGGGAATGAGTGTGTGGGGATCCTCCAGTGTGGGGATGCCCAAAGAGCAGGAGGTGGCAATGCCTGACGTTCCCTAGAGCAGATTCTTTGCAGGAAAGCAGAACCTGGGCATGCAGGCGCAGAGGACAAACGGCTCATCCTTGTTTGCTGAGCTGCCTTCTGCTCCCATCACAGGATCACGGAACTGTAGAATTGTAGAACTATGGGATGGTTGGGCTGGAAGGGATGTGAGAGATCACAGAGCCATGGGATGGCTGGGTTGGAAAGGACCTGAAAGATCACAGAGCCATGGGACGATTGGGTTGGAAAGGACCTGAAAGATCACAGAGCCGTGGGATGGTTGGGTTGGAAAGGACCTGAAAGATCACAGAGCCATGGGATGGCTGGGTTGGAAGGTCCTTAAAGATCACAGAGCTGTGGGACGGTTGGGTTGGAAGTGACCTGAAAGATCACAGAGCTGTGGGACGGTTGGGTTGGAAAGGTCCTTGAAGATCACAAAACAGTGGGACAGTTGGGTTGGAAAGGTCCTTAAAGATCACAGAGCCATGGGACGATTGGGTTGGAAAGGACCTGAAAGATCACAGAGCCATGGGATGATTGGGTTGGAAAGGACCTGAAAGATCACAGAGCCGTGGGATGCTTGGGTTGGAAAGGACCTGAAAGATCACAGAGCTGTGGGATGGTTGGGTTGGAAAGGTCCTTAAAGATCACAGAGCCATGGGACAGCTGGGTTGGAAGTGACCTGAAAGATCACAGAGCTGTGGGACGGTTGGGTTGGAAAGGTCCTTAAAGATCACAGAGCCATGGGACGATTGGGTTGGAAAGGACCTGAAAGATCACAGAGCCGTGGGATGGTTGGGTTGGAAAGGTCCTTAAAGATCACAGAGCTGTGGGACGATTGGGTTGGAAGGACCTGAAAGATCACAGAGCCATGGGACGGTTTGGTTGGAAGGCACCACCACCTTCCAGCACTTCTGTGCAGCTCAGAGCACCCAGCTGTGCTGTGCACCCACGCAGCAGTGCTCTGACGGCACATTCCCCCCTCTGCACCAGCCAAGGAAAGCACAGGGGGTGGATAAACGTATGCAGCGACAACAGCAGCACCTCCAGCAGCAGCTCCCACCTCTGATGTGCCACCTCAGGTGAGAAAAGTCTCATCGTGCAGTGAGAAGCGTGCCGTGTTTTGCTGACAGAAGGGCTGCTGGGAGCTGCCAGAGAGTGGGATGTCCTCGGGGAGATGGCACACACCACCCTGCTTGTTCTCTGAGGTGGGTTATGGCGTCAGCAGCAATAGGTTTGCTTGGGGTGGAAGTGAAGCCCGAAGGAGGCTGCGGCTGGCAGAGCCCTGGCGGTTGCACAGAGCCGGGTGGATTCGTCCCCAAATCGTGGGGATTGACCTTAAAAAGGTGACGCTTTGGGCACCGAAGCACAGGGTGAGGGGGAGGACATTGTGGAGATGGGGCACCCGTGGTGGTGGTACCCAGTGACAGCAGGATGCTGAGCACCCAGAGATCCCCAAAGAACTGGGAGGAGGAGGGGGAGGCGCTGGGGGGCTACGGGGTGCCCTGCAGCCACCACGAGAGGCTGCGCCGCCACCGCTGCACCCCTGCCATCCCTGCAGAGGGTCTGAGTTCCACCCCAGCAACCTCAGCACGGAGCTCTGAGCCGTCCTGTCACCCCGTCCCCTGGAGACGCAGCAGCCCTGGGCGCTGATGGCTTTGGATGTCACCCAAACATGAGCACAACTCGTTTACCCCCACCCTTCCGAGGAGCGCCAGGAGGGGATGCAGCCCCCCTCTCTCCCCCCCCAGGGCATCACTTCTTGCTGCACTCTCTGCTGTTTCTAAGCCGGGCCAATTCAGGAGCCTGGAGCTGACCCAGCTGGCTGCGAGGATCTCAGTTAACTCAATTCACTGCTATTACTGTCAGTCAGACCTAACGACCCGACGCGGAATATCAGCCCTTCGAGGACCCGTTTCTAATTAATGCCAGCTCATAAACTAATTAATGGATTTGCTTGTAAATTCTAAAATCCACGCTCCCTGCGAAGAGCAATCCTTCCTCTTCGGGGAGGACGCGCCGTGAGGATGCTCAGATCCAACCCCAGCCGACATCCCCCTGCTTTGCTCTCCAGCAGCCTGGAAAATCACCCTTGGCTGGGTCCAGGTGCCCGCGCTGGGT